GAAGTCATGGGACCTGGTGTGTGCCCAGAAAGATCCCTGGTAGCTGAATGGAGGATACACTCAAGTGAGTGGGCATGGGGGGGCCGTCAAGAGGCTGCTGCCACCTGAGTGGTGGTGGTAGCTGAGACTCATGGTGGTACTGGGGTAGGGGATTCTGGAGGCAGAGCTGGTAGGATGAACTGGACAAGGGATATGAGGGAAAAGAGTCATGGGGAGGCTTTTTGGGTCAATGACTGAGATGGAGGAGAGCTCACCAGGAAAGGCTTGGGGAAAAGGGAAGCATCTGGTGTGTTTGAAGTGCCAGGACTGTGACCAAGTGAAAAAACAGAAATATAGAAGCTAGGTAGGCTTTTAGAGGAGTAGTGGGGGCCTCTAGCAGTTGGGGGCTAAGCCTTCCTCAGTCCTGTCTGCCTGCTGGACTCCACGCTCCAGGCTCCTCCACTGGATAACCATTGAAGCTCAAGGAAACACAGGGTGTTCTGGCCCCCTACTCATATTGGAGGGGGAACACTGAATGTTAAGGCAGGAGCATAGTGGTCTTTCTGGCTGAGGGCATAGAAGGTAGAGGAGCTTATGGGGTCAGTGGTCCTTTACTGGGCAACGTCTACTTGGATGCCTCAAGAGACTACGTTTTGGCAACTTCTGCCTACTAAGCCTCCCTCTTCCCAGGGGAAATTGTGGAACAGCAGGAGGAGCCAAGGCTTTGGTTTCCAGGCATACCAGGCTGATCATTTCTAAGCTGTGCCTGCTGGGCAAGTGCCTCCTTATTGTAGAGCCTCAGCTTACTCGAGTGCTCTGGGAATGGTGCGCCAGCCTCCAGGCACTTTTCAAGGTTGAGAGCTATAGTTTGGATGCAGCATCTGGTCTGGCACTTGGCAGGTGATGGGGCTGCCTCTTCTACAGGACACTATCTCAGGACTCTGAAGACAGGTTTTCCAGCCCCTCCCAAATATTGTCCCAACCTAGATCTATGTTCCTCTTTTTATGTTCAGGCAAGTAGCCATCGATTATCACTTATGAAATGAAAAGTAGGCCCAGCCTGTGTCACACAGCCAGACCCTGTCTCTACAAAAAAATGAAAAAGAGCCAGGTGTGGTGGCACATGCCTACAGTCCTAGCTACTACTCAAGAGGCTAGAGTGGAGGATCACATGAGTCCAGGAGCTCAAGGCTACAGTGAGCTATGATTGTGCCATTGCACTCCAGTCTGAGTGACAGAGTGAGACCTTGTCTCCCAAAAAATAAAAAATAAAAAAATTGAAATGGAAAGTAGATCGAGAAATATATATATATACACAGACTTGAGATTATTATATTTTTATCAAAAAGTAAATTTTAGGCCAGGCACCAGTGCCTGTAATCCCAGCAATTTGGGAGGTGGAAGTGAGAAGATTCCCTGAGCCCACGGGTTCGAGACCAATCTGGGCAACTTGGCGAGACCTCGATTCTATAAATTTAAAAGTTAGCTGGGTGTAGTGGTACACACCTGTAGTTTCAGCTACTTGGAAGACTGAGGCAGTAGGATTGTTTGAGCCCAGCAGGCTGAGGTTGCCGTGGTCCTGAGCATGCAACTGTACTCCAACCTGGGTGACAGAGTGAGACTACGACTCAAAAAAATGTAAATTGTACTTTGGTTTTCTCCTACCCCCTACACTTTGACGTGACGAGTCTTTGTGACATTGTTTGTGACCTTCCTGTGCCTTTCCTGCAGGACATGATGCTCCTGTCTCTCTCCTGCATGGAGCTCCAACTGGATCAGTGGCTGCTGGAGGCAGAAGCTCTGCAGGTAGTAGGCATTGTTTTCTGTGGCAGTGCTGATTCCTGAACTCCCAGCAGCCAGGAGAAAGCTGAACAGGGGGCAGCTGAGTCAAGGAATTCAGACTTACGTCTGCAGTGGGCTCATTTTCTGGGTTGGCTTGTTAGGGTCCCAAAGAAACCTCCTGGACATTCAAGAAGTGGTTAACAGCAGCTGAGCCCCCAGAGGGAGCCACCTGCCTGCTTTTGCTGTTGCTTGGGGTTGAAGGAAACAGGATCTCAGTTTTGATGTGACCATTTGATGCTTTATGTGTCCCCAATAATTTTTCCACTACCACCTGGTGGAATGTAGATATGCTCAAAACTCAGTCTATAAAATTTCTTCCTGCCTCCTACTCTTGGAGTCTCAGCATCTCTAACTGGTTAGACCTCTCTGATACCTGCCACTCTAAGGCTTCAAGGGACCCAGGGTATCCCTGAAGACAGGGTGGGTGTAGTGAGGGCTGAGGGCAATTTGGGGGGAGCAGAAGAGCATTTGAATGCTACTCGTGAAGTTAACTTGAGTCCTGATGCTTTTCAGTGTCTCCTCAGAACAGCCCTACTGGTGTGGTGAATGGCAGATTCGGGCCCAACTTCCCAGGGACCCACCGCTTGGGTGACCTCCTACAGCTGTCATTCGCTTCATCCCAGCATGACTTATTTGAGGATGGCTGGCTGGAGTTTGTGGTCTGTGTTTACTGGCTGAAGGCTCGCTTCCTGGTGCTGCAGGTTAGTTCCATAGTCAGCTGCCTGGGGAACATGCCCTGGTACCTGGCAAGAAAAGCAAAAAACTGACCATGTTGAGAATGTGTGTGTGTATGTGAGTGCTCATGTGCATGCTCAACACCTTTCCAGCACTGAGCTTGGCATGAGGAAGTGGAGAGTTGGCGGGGAATACTCAGCGTCTCAGAAATCCAGACATGACCACCCATCTGTAAAACTCCTCAGCATAACCACTGAGCTCTGGAAAGGCTCTCTCTGACTCCCACTCAAGATTGCCTTCTGGTCTTGACCTTTTGCTTATGTTTTCCTGAGAGAGTCTAAGTGAGTACTTGAATGGATACAGAGCTTTCTAGAAGGGAATTATCTACCAGCTTTGTAAGAGTTCTGGGACTATTTCTCTTCAGAGCCTGGTCGGGAAAGCTGGAGTAGATTGACTGTTACCCAGCACCCTGCACACAGTGGTACCTGATACATGTAATAGAATGAGGCAGAGATTGCCAGGATCCTGTTAGCAACCATTTGATAAGAGGGTAGCAACACTGATGTGAACATCAGTCCTGGAATTAGGACAGGTCTAGGTTGTAATCCTGGCTCTGCCAGATACCCAACCTTACTCAAGTGTCCTCAGTGTCCTCATCTGTAAATAGGGTTAATGATACTTCCTCTCACAGAGTTGTGGTTTGATTATCACTCATTTAGCAAATATTTATTTAGCCCCAGCTATATACCAAGTCTTATTTAGGGGGTATAGCAGTAATTGGGTAAAAAACACCCTTATGGCATCCACAGTCTAGTGAACTCTAGGATGTAAGGCACCTGACACAGCACAGTAAGCCTTCTATCCCCTCTTTTGACCTGGTTTTCCTTCTGACTGGGGACATGCAACAGGCCCTGGAGAACTATGACATCTGCACAGAAATGCTCCAGAGCTCTGCTGCCGTTCAGGCAGGGGCAGGGCCTAAGCAAAGAGACATTGTCATCCGGCTGCCCAACCTCCACAATGACTTCATTGTGAGGAGGTGAGTGGGAATATTTTTAATGGTTTTTGTCTTGGTCAAAGATGTATTTTAAGTTGGCCCAGTTAGTCTAGGCCTGACCTTTCTCAGGAACGAGAGAGCCACCCACATGCTGAGCAGGGCCTCTAGAGGGAGGGCAGGAGAGTTCTGGGGGAGGCCACCCTAGCACACTAGGACACTGCAGATCCTTGATGAATAGCTCATTCAAGTAGCAGGTGTGGAAGTTCCTACCAACATGATTTAGAAATAGTTATTGCTCAGCTCTTCTGGCTGCATGTTGCAGCCACTCCAGTGGGAATAGAAGGAAATATCAGCTAAAGCAGACCAGTGGGCTGATCATGGGCTGGATCAGCAGTGTGTGGTGCATATGCCAGGTTCTACTTGGGTGGCACTTCTCTCAATGTGTAATCTCAGACTCCACTGCAGCTCCGGGCCTGCAACATGCCCACGTTGGGTGAAAATGGCCTTTAGACTTTTGCTGAGTGATTTCAGGGCAAGTCTAAGTGTAGTTCCCTGCTGCCTGTACACTGGGGTCATGCTAAGCCCCATGTGATTGTCCGTGGTGTGTGTCAACCTCTGGCCCAGCCCTGCTGAGTCTCTGACAGCCTGGAGCTCTGTAGTTCTGCAAATCTGGTTCACTGCACTATGACCAAGTAGTTGTCCATCTATTTTGGCAGATGCTTTTCTGGAACCCCTCTGCTTCTAGGTCAGTTTTTGGGTTTTGGTGTTTGTTTTTTAAAGAAGGGAATGCCTTGACCTTAATAGAAATACTTTTTAAAAAAACTATATATATATGTGTGTGTATACACACACACACACACACACACACACACACACACACATTTAGCTGGGTGTGGTGGTACATGCCTCTCGTCTCAGCTTCTTGGTAGGTTGAGGTGGGTGGATTGCTTGAGCCCAGGAGTCTGATGACAGCCTGGGCAACACAGTGAGACCTGGCCTCAAAAATAAAACAAATAAATCACATGCATTTAGTATAAACACTGACAGAGTAGGTGGAGTAATTTTGATCCTCCTCATCTGGGTCTGATAAATGCAAATGCTGACCAGATTCAGGGAGGGTGTAAGGAGTTTGCCCTCAGACAGCATTTCTGGGCCTTTTTCAGATTGAAAAGAACCTGAAGTCTCTGAAGCGATGCCAGTCCCTGGAGGACATTCAGCGGCTTTATGAAGCAGGTGACTACAAGGCTGTCGTGCATCTGCTCCGCCCCACCTTGTGGACCAGTGGGTTTGACCGGGCCAAACACCTGGAGTTCATGACTTCCATTCCTGAAAGACCAGCACAGCTGTTGCTGCTGCAGGTATGTGCTGCCAGTGTTCCTCACTCCCGCTCACACCTTCTTTGCTTGCTTGTTTGTGTGTTTATTTTCTGGAGCTTCTGAGACAGCTCTTGAGAACACATTCCTACAAGAGAAAAGTGGGAGTCAAAATCACTAGTCTAGTCCCCAGGAAAATGCCAATCAGAAGATGTGGTCAAGACTAGGGAAAAGTTAGAACCTAGGAGTGCAGGTTCTAGGGTTCTGCGTGGCTCGGGGTAAGCCCCATACTTGACTCTGAACTTCTTTGTGGCAGAGGAGAAAGAAAGAATGATCAGGATATCACCTGTCCATCCTCCTGTTTTTTCATCTGTCTCTTTTGTTATTGTTACTTTTTAAATCAGATATAAAAATGGATAAAATATCTATCTGTGCAGTGTAAAGGATCAAGATAAAGATCTGTGGACAGTCTTGTAAGTTTTTTTTTCTCTTCCACCCCAGTTACTTAGTTGAAGAAGAAGAAGATCAGTATCGTGTTTGAAGCCACACGTGCCCTCCTAGGCTCCCTCCGTGTCCTTCAGGAAGAAACTCTTTTTTTTTTTAATTTTTTTTTTAAAGATGTGGAGTACAATTCAGGGTTAGGTATACAAATGTTCATTATGCAGGTGCCCTTGTTGATGAGGTGTACCCCCGACCCCCAGCAGTTTCCCACTACTGCCAATCCCTTTCTTATAGTATTACGATAATTGTTCAAGGTCCGCTTATGAGTGAGAACATGTGATACTCAGTTTTTTGCTTCTGTGATAGATCACTCAGTATTATAGACTCTACGTCTATCCAAATTATTGTGAAGGTCATAATTTTGTCATCCTTTATGGCTGCATAATATTCCATCATGTACATATGCCACAACTTTTTTTATCCATTCCTCTTTCAACGGGCAGCACAGTTGGTTCCATGTTTTTGCTATTGTGAATAATACTGCAGTAAACATGCATGTGCAGATATCTTTTTCATTAGAGGTATTTGAGTTCCTCCAGGTATATTCCCAGTAGGGAGATTACACGGTCGTATGGAAGGCTGATTTTTAGATCTTTAGGAATCACCAAACTGTTTTTCACAGAGGTTGTACTTGTTTACACTCCCACCAACAGTGTAGAAGTGTTCTCTTTTTGCCACATTCTCTTCAGTATCTGTTGTTTTTTGAGTTACTGATGATGGCCATCCTGGCTGGAGTTAAGTGGTATCTCTGTGTGGTTTTAATTTGCATTTCTTTGATGACTAGTGAGACTGAGCATTTTTTCATGTATCTGTTGTCTGCTTATATTTCTTCTTTTGAGAATTGTCTATTCAAATTTTTTGCCCACTTTGTAATGGGGTTGTTTTTTATTTTTGGCATTTTTGAGTTCCTTGTAGAGCTTAGATGTTAAGCCTTTGTCAGATATACAGCTGGAAAATATTTCTTCCCAGTCTGTGGGCTGTCTCCCCACTCTCTTGATAGTTTCTTTGACTTTGCAGAAGCTTGTCAGTTTGATAAAGTCCCACTTGTCTATCTTATCTCTTATGGCATGGGCACTTGGCATTTTGATCAGGAATTAGTTGCTAGTTCCAATTTCCATAAGAGTGTCTCCTCCATTTTCTAAGGTTCTTATAGTTTGAGATTTTACGTTTAGGTCCTTGATTCATTTAGAGTTGATTTGTGTGTATGGTGATAGGTAGGGGTCTTATTTCAATCTTCTGCATGTGGTCAACCAGTTTTCCTAGTACCATTTACTGAATAGGTTCTCCTCTCCCCAGTGGTTGATGGCGTAGGCTCTGTTGAAGAAGAGTTGGTTGAGAAATTGAGGTTTTGCTTCTGGAATCTCTTTCTTGTTCCATTGGTCTATAGGCCTGTTCTTATACCAATACCAGGCTGTTTTGATTATTGTAGCTTTATAAAAAAGTTTGAAGTCTGGGAATGTGATATTTCCCGCTTTATTTTTTTTATTGAGGATTATTGTTCTTGGCGATTTGTGGTTGTTTTTGTTTCCATATGAATTCCTGTCTTTTCATTTCCAGGTCTCAGAAGAATGCTGCTGGTAATGTAATGGGTATTGCGTTAAATTTGTAGATTCTTGGGTAGGATGGACATCTTAACAATGCTGATTCTTCCAATCCATGAGCATGGAATATTTTTCCATTTGTTTATGTCATCTTTGGTTTCTTTCAGCAGTATTTTGTAGTTTTCGTTATAAAGATCTTTCACTTCTCTGCTTAGGAAGATGCCAAGATATTCCATTTTTTGTGTGTGGCTATTGTGAATGGGATTGTGCTTTTTATTTGGGTTTCTGTTTGTTTATTGTTAGTGTATAGGAATGCAACTGTCTTTTGCACTTTTATTTTATACCCTGAGACACTGCCAAAGTCCTTTATCAGTGCAAGGAGTTTTTTGACAAATTTTCTTGGGTTTTCGAGGTATAGAATCGTTTCATCTGCAAAGAGAACTAACTTAACTTCCTCTTTTCCTGTTTGGATACCCCTGATTTCCTTCCTTGTCTGATTGCTCTAGCTAGGACTTCCGATACAATTGGAGGAGTGTTGTCTTGTTCGATTTTCAGGGGAAATGGTTCCAATTTCTGTCTGTTTAGCAGTATGTTGACTGTGGTTTTCTCATAGATTGCTCTTACTATTTTGAAGTATGTTCCCTCTAAACCTAGATGTTCAAGGGTTTTTATCAAGCTTAAGAGGTGCTGGATTTTATCCAAAATTTTTTCCACGTCTAATGATACAATCATGTGATTTTTCTTTTTACATCTGTTGTTGTATTTAATTATGTTTATGGTCTTGCAGATGTTGAACCAGCCCTGCATCCCGGGAATAAAGCCTACTTGGACATGGTAGATGACATTTGAGATGTGTTGTTGGATCCAGATTGCTAGAATCTTGTTGAGAATTTTAGCATCTATGTTCATCAAGGATATTGACCAGTACTCTTTCTTTGTTGGATCTTTACCCGGTTTGGGTATCAATGTGATGTTAGCTTCATAAAATGATTTGAGGACAGTTCCATCTTTCTCAATTGCCTGGCATACTTTTAGTAGGATTGGTATCAACTCCTGCTTGTATGTTTTGTAGAATTCTGCTGGAAAGCCATCTGGTCCAGGGCATTTTTTGTGTGTGGTTTTCTTATGACATAGCCAATTTCCCAGGTTGTTGTTCTCGATTTCTGCTTGTTTCAACCTGGGGAGGTTGTGTGATGTAGAAAATCCTCCATTTCAAGTTTGTTTCCATACAAGTGTACATAGTAATCTCTGACAATCTTTTGTACTTTTTCAGGGTCAGTTTGCCTTAATCTTTTAAATTATGATTGTGTTTATTTGGACTTTTCTCTCTTTTTTTTTGATCAGTCTAGTTAGGGGTCCATCAGTCTTGTTTATTCTTTCAAAGAACGAACTTTTTGTTTCATTGATTTTTTTTGTGTGTGTGTATTATATTTTTTCTTCTGTGTCCTGAGTTTTGGCTTTTATTTTGGTGATCTGCTTAAGTTAGGGTTTTGGTGGTCTTGCCTTTCCAACTTCCTTAGGTGATTTGTTAGGCTGTTAACTTGTGATCTTTACATTTTCTTCATGTGTGTTCGTAGAAATATGAATTCCTCTCTTAGTACTGCTCTCATGGCATCCCAGAGATGTGATGTTGATATGTTTCTTCATTTTCATTTGTTTCCAGGAATCTTTTAATTTCTGTTTTGATTTCCGTGTTGACCCAGGAGTTGTTTAGCATCATGCTGTTTAGAGTCCATGTCTGTTGGGAGCCAGCCTTGGAGGCCTGCCTGATGACAAAGTCTAGGTGTGTTGAGGACCCCTGGCCGCAAAGTGAGCCCAGGCAGCTGAGGCCCTTCTGTGTTTCATTTTTGTTGTTGATATAGCTGAAGAAATTTTGTGCAGTCATGGAAAAAGAAGATGGCATGTTTATGTGAAGAATCACAGCTAACCTGGAAATATCATGGTTTATTTTTTTATTTTTCCACTATGTAACTTGGCCTTTTTTAACATATGTAAGGGTTAAATTTTGAAACACATCAAGAATGTTTTTTTTACTTGGTTATAAGTTATTAGATATTGTTTAAGTAATAAATGATATAAGTATATTTATTTTTTATTTGATTTAGGATTATGTAGTTTAGTGTTTAGACATAAAGATTTTTAGAAGCACAAGTTTATAGTAGTTTATTATGAATTTGTTATAGTTTTAACACTTATCTAGGAGTTATGTAGGTGATTTATAACACTGTTTTTATTAACTTAGGATAAGGATTAATATTAAGGTTTTTATTTAATTTTATAGTTAAAACTCTAAGTTAACATTTATAGAGTAGGTTTTTATTGAATTTATAATATAATAATCAGACACTTTTATGACAGATTAGTTAAAACAGAAAATAACCTTGAGTTTTTTTGAGTTTTTTTTAAAACAAGCACTGTAAGATAAAAGTAATGAGGACATCTGGACAAGGGAGGCGATCACAGGACTCTGAAGAATATAAGAGTCTAAGATGAGAATATTTTTGACACATAAAAAAATATATCCCAAACCCTCTAGTATTCCAGCCTGTTACATGGGATACTAAGATTATTACTGTTTTTACTAATCATACCTCTTTATTAAAAGACTCCACTCTTTTTTCATTGAGGGTCAAAACTGTTATTAATCATAATTTTTCCTTTTCAGGTTGTTCTAGTTCTCTTCCAATATGTTTTAGTTTACCTAAAAAATCAAACTACTTGCATAAATTGTAAATTAACTAATTGTCTTACTTGTTCTAATTTATATAGAGAATTCATAATTGTTAAACAGCCTTCTTATTTAATGGTTCCTATAAATCTTACATCTCTTTGATGTGATGTATATCGTTTAGTGTTTAAATATGAGGTTAACTCACTGTTGTCACGACCAAAAAGATTTATAACAACTTTAATTTTAGGTATTACAGCTTTGATAGTCATTGCTACTTCAGTTTCAGTTTCAGCCATAACCTTAGCTAAAGAAGTACATACTGCTACGTTTAC